GATAAACTACAACTACAACAATAAACTACAACAACAATAAACAACAACAACGATAAACAACAACAACGATAAACTACAACAACAACAACAAACTACAACAACAATAAACAACAACAATAAACAACAACAACAACAAACTACAACAACAATAAACTACAACAACAATAAACTACAGTTAAAATAAGAGCAGTGTATAAAACAATAAATCAGGGAGAATTACTAAAAACAAGAACATATTTGCTTTGGTTTATAGTTTTTAGATGAGTGTTTTTCTGGACAGGAACTGAACAGAATAAACCTAAATGTTTTTGAGCAAGATCTTTAAGTGGGGAGGACTTCCACTGTGAGAAGAACAGAGGGAGGAGTTTTAATTGTCTGCAGCAGTGCAGAGTGACAGATCCTGGAGAGAGGAGGGAGACATTGGACCCACCACCAGGAGCAGTGGCGGAGCCAGGGGGTGGTCAGTGGTGGCCTTGACCACCCCAATCAGTTGAAGAAACTATAGTTTTAATCAAAATCAAAACTAGAAAGCATTGTGTCTCCTCACCATATTTCACCTGAGCGATGTCTCCGACAACGATGTCAGAGATCTTGATGTGGACGAGCTGCCCCCCTCGGATCACGGAGAACTTCTGCTCCTGCTCGATGCGGCTCTGCAGACCTCTGAACTGCTTCTCTTTGCTCCAGTCGTTAAACGCCGTCACCAGCACCACGCACACCACCGACAGGAGGATGGCCGCGCCCTCGATCCAGCCGGCCTCCGCCTCACCCTCATCCTCCACACCCCCCGCCGCGCTGCCACAACCTAACCACAAAATGCAAAAAGATTCAGCTGTTCTAGTTGAAACTGAGCTTCTGAAGGTAAAATGAGAACAATAAATGAGCAAAACAGTGACCTAAAGCTAAAGCATGTGATCAGCTGGTTCTGGTTGTCAGCAGCAAACTGGTTGATCCACTCTGAGAAGGTGCTATTCAAGAGACTGAGCTGAATACAGCACCTCAGACTGAGGAAGTCCTCAGGATGAGAGACGAAACATTTCTACATTTTTATGCTTTGTTTTGTTTTGTTTTTTTGAATGTCAAGAGGACCAGATTGAACTTTTTTGGACCTAAAGCTAAAGTTAGCAAAACTGTAGCTAAAATCCTAGTTAGTAGATAGAAGCTCAGCTTATGTAATAGTAGCAAAAGACTAAATGACAAGTAAAAGCTAAAATACACAAATCCATAGCTAAAAGTTAAAACTAGCAGATCTATAGCTATAAGCTGTTTCCTGTAATATCTTACAAAAAGAACTGAAGCTCTCGACCTTTGACCTCTCTAAGTGTCTTTAAGAATCTGTTGGACTCCTGGCAGGGACCAATGCAGACATGTTCCTGTTTTTAGTTTTATACATTCACCTTATAATCTAGCTGGGGGTTTTTTTGTTACCTTTTTCTTTTAGCCATCCTATTTGTAAAAATAAAATAAAATAAAAAAATAAATAAAAACCTGCAGTTTGACTTTTTATAACTGTTTATTGTTGTTGCTGTTGTCCATTGTTGTCATCTTTCTTTGTTAAATCAGGTCTCTCTTGTAAATGAGTCCTCGAGGCTCAATGGGATTTACCTGTAGAAATAAAGGTTGAATGAATGAATAAGCTAAAACTAGCTAAATATCAAATAAAGCTAAAATACACAAATCTGTAGCCAAAAGTTAAAACAAGCATATCTATAGCAATAAGCAAAAATTAGCAAAATATTTACTAAACACTAAAATTAACAAATCCTTAGCTAAGTTAAAACTAGCTGATCTATAGCTATAAGCTAAAATTAGCTAAACATTAACTAAAAGCTAAAATGAACAAAGCTGTAGGTAAAAGTTAAAACTAGCTGATCTATATCCTGATGCATGCTCAATAATCCAGGTAGAAAAATCTAAAAAAGTTAAATCTGGTCCTCTGGACATTCAAAAAAAAACAAAACAAAGCAAATAAACAAAAAAATGTAGAAATGTTTCGTCTCTCATCCTGAGGACTTCCTCAGTCTGAGGTGCTGTATTCAGCTCAGTCTCTTAAATAGCACCTTCTCAGAGTGGATCAACCAGTTTGCTGCTGACAACCAGAACCAGCTGATCACATGCTCAAGAAGGACCATCAGCCTAACAATGGATCATTAGCACACTTTATTCATTCAACCTTTATTTCTACAGGTAAATCCCATTGAGCCTCGAGGACTCATTTACAAGAGAGACCTGATTTCAACAAAGAAAGATGACAACAATGGACAACAGCAACAACAATAAACAGTTATAAAAAGTCATACTACAGTTTTGTTTTTTAAACAAATAGGATGATTAAAAAAAAGTAATAAAAACAGCTAGATTCTAAGGCGAATATAGAAAACTATAAACAGGAACATGTCTGCACTGGTCCCTGCCAGGAGTCCAACAGATTCTTAAAGACACTTAGAGAGGTCAAAGGTCGAGAGCTTCAGATCTTTTTACAAGATATTCCAGGAAACAGGAGCGGAGTAGGAGAAGGTCCTTTTGTCTAGTTCAGTCCTCACTGAGGGAACACTGCAGGTAATGATGTCCTGAGAGCGCACGCTGTAGCTGCACTCACACAGAGACATGTAGGAGGAGATGTATGAAGGCAGCAGACCAGGAAGTGATTTAAAGATGAAGATGTACCAGTGGGAGAGTCTGTGTGAAGTTAATGGTGACCAGTTAACCAGTGAATACTGGGTTCAGTGGTGGGTACGATAATCACAGCCAGTTATGAATCTTAGTGCACCATGATAGACAGCATCCAACATCTGCAGCATCCAACATCTGCAGCATCCAACATCTGCAGGGTTCTTGTAGGAGCGTTCATGTAAATAATGTCACCGTAATCAATGGAGGGAAGGAAAGTCACAGATACAAGGTGTTTCCTAACATTCAGGGTTAGACAGGATCTGTTTATGAAAAATAAACCCAGTTTAACTTTCAGTTTCTTTATCAAGTTTTCCACATGGAGCTTAAAAGAGAGATGTGAGTCGACCAAGATACACAAATATTTATAGGAATCAACAAACTCAATGGGGACACCATTTGAGGATGAGATCAGAGGAAGAACTGCTGGGACCAACTTCCTGTTTGAAAAAAGCATCCCTTTGGTTTTGTTGGCATTTAGGACAAGTTTGAGGTGGAACAAATCAGTCTGGATGATGTTGAATGCAGATTTCAAAAGCTGGAAAGCCTTAGCAACAGTTTTAGCTCGACAATAAACAACTGTGTCATCAGCATAGAAATGTATGGATGCATTAGGGATGTTTCTACCTACATTATGTATGTAGATTGTAAAGAGGGTGGGTCCTAAGACTGAGCCTTGTGGTACAATGTTGTTGACTGTTAAAAAAACTGGAGGAAGTACCATTATGTTGAACACATTTCCTCCGATCTGAGAGATAGTTAGAGAACCAACCAATGGTGTGTTCTGAGAAACACTGATGGCTGTTTACTACTCACAGAGGGCTGAGTGATACTAGCAATCACAGCATTGTAAGAGGGGGACAGTTGAACCCGGAGGCTCCACCCCTGTTTAACGATGGATGATTCTTTTCACAAAGATGGCCTCCTTTACTCCTCTCTCAAACCATCGTTCCTCTCTGTCCAGGATGTGAACATCTTCATCCCTGAAAAAGTGACCGCTGGCCTGGAGATGAGTGTAGAAAAGCTACACTGATGGATCCCGTTCAGGATTTTGGACATCCTGGACCTGCCTCTAGTACTCATTGAGTGGGACACAATTAAGACCATGGACAGGTCTACAGTCCCAGCCATGTACACATGGACTTATGACTACTGCTAATTTTATGACCATCAGTTAATCTGACCTGCTTGTTTTTGGACTGTAAGGGAACACTGGAGAACTCAGAGAAACCCCAACACATTACTGTGAGAACATGGAGATCCACACAGAGCTGGTAGTCCATCCTAGAACTGACTGTGCTAACCAACTGTATTAGCAAATGTACGCATACCTCAAGAAAAGATCTACAGAGGATGCCATCTTCTCTGTGGTCCACACTGCTCTCACCCACCTGGAGCAGAAAAACTCCTACATCCATCTGCTCTTTGTGACTTCACATCTGCCTTCAACACCCTGATCCCCCAGACCCTTATGGACAAACTATCCACACTAGGACTAAGCCCCTCCATCTGCAACTGGATCCTAGACTTCTTAACAAACAGACCACAGTCAGTGAGGATCCACAACTTCTCCTCCTCCACCATAACCCTCAGCACTGGCTCTCCTCAGGGATGTGTGCTGAGCCCTCTCCTGTTCATTCTGCTCACGTATGATTGTGCAGCTACCCATCCAGGCTGTCACATTGTAAAGTTTGCAGATGATACAGTGGTGGTGGGATGCATCACAAACAACGATGAGTCCAGCTACAGGCAGGAGGTGGAACATCTGGAGAGCTGGTGCAGGAAGAACAACCTTCACATCAATGTGAAGAAGATGAATGAGATGGTCGTGGACTTCAGAAGGAACAAAAACACCTACACCCCCCTGAACATAAGAGGATCTGTGGTGGAAGTGGTCTCCAGCTACAAGTACTTGGGTGTGCACCTGAACAACAACCTCAGCTGGAGCAACAACACCACCAGCCTGATGAAGAAAGCTCATCAGAGACTCTACTTCCTCAGACGGCTGAGACGAGCTGGTCTGGAAGCTCAGTCCTCACCTCCTTCTACAGGTGTGCAGTGAAGAGCATCCTGTGCTCCAGCATCAACGTGTGGCATGGAGGCTGCACAGCTGCAGAAAGAAAAGCTTTGCAGAGAGTGGTGAAGGCTGCACAGAAGATGTTGGAGTTAGTCTCCCCACCATCACAGATATCTACACCTCCAGATGCAGGAAGAGGGCCACCTGCATCATGAAGGACCACACTCACCCAGCACACACACTTTTTGCCCCACTCCCCTCAGGAAGGAGGTTGAGGAGCATTAAGTGTAGAACCATTAGACTGAGGAACAGCTTCTACCCTGAGGCTGTTAGACTCATGAATCTCTAACCAGAATAATCACTGTGAAAAATCACATCATGTTGCTGCTGATCTGTTTCAATGTTGCTGCTGATCTGTTTCATGTTGCTACTGATCTGCTTCATGTTGCTGCTGATCTGCATCATGTTGCTGCTGATCTGCATCATGTTGCTGCTGATCTGTTTCATGTTACTTCTGATCTGTTTCATGTTGCTGCTGATCTGTTTCATGTTGCTGCTGATCTATTTCATGTTGCTGCTGATCTGCATCATGTTGCTGCTGATCTGCATCATGTTGCTGCTGATCTGCATCATGTTGCTGCTGATCTGCATCATGGTGTTGCTGATCTGTTTCATGTTGGTGCTGATCTGTTTCATGTTGCTGCTGATCTGTTTCATGTTGCTGCTGATCTGTTTCATGTTGATGTGTTCATGCGTGCTCATCAGCTCACACAGACTCATGTTCGTGCTGCTGTTCAGCGTATTGTTTTTATGCTATCAGTGTTTAGTGTATATTTAGTTGATGGTTTTCTTAGTTCATATCTTTGATCTTATTACTGTTTTTTCTTTTACATTTTATTGTTGGATGTAAATGGGACCCTGTGAACATAATCTTGTTCCACCACATGTACTATGTGTTGTCATCATTGTATGGGAACATAGAAAGGTAAAACTGGCTCTCTTATTTAACCCATCCACCCCCAGGTGGAGCAGTGGGCAGGTATTGAAGACACCCGGGGAGCAGTTGGGGATAGGGTGTGCTACTCAGAGAGACCACGAGATGTGCAATGACTGGGGATCGAACCTGGGACTTTCGGGGCCTGCGTTGATTGCCCTGCCTCTTCCCCATCTCGGCCCCCTACTCAAGATGGCCACTACAGCCAGCAGAAACCAAATAACAAAAAAATGCTGTAACAGTTTACTGACACTGAGCTAAAATCTGGAGTGGCAGTATCTGACAGTCCCACCTCTTATGGTTGCATATGAGATTCTGTTTAACATCAGCAGAATGCACAGTGGCGGGTGATATACATTCTTTCACTGAATGCTAGGCATTTAGTTTGGTCCATATTTTTAAAGTGTAAAAGAAGCTGTTGAGGTGAATAAACCGGACACTCACTCTGTCTGTCGGCAACTGGCGGGTTGTAAAATGAAAGGCCAAGTGAAATAATGGCGGCAACCTCGAGGATGATGAGTGTGACGTCCTGCAAGGCCTCCCACACTAACTGCAAAAAGGTCTTTGGCTTCTTAGGAGGGATGACGTTCTGTCCAAACTCTTGTCTTCTTCTGGTAATGTCCTCCAGTCTTCCATCTAGACCTGCACACACAGAGACGTCATCTTATTTAATCACTCCAATAGACTATTTGATTGAATATTTGTTTATAATATTTTTGATAATAACATGCAGCCTTTATCCCTACAACTATAAGCAGTGATGACTTCATGAGATTCTTTATAAACAAAATTGTTTCAGTTAGGGAAAAAAATTCAAACCAACATTCCTACTATCGCCTCTGGTTCTGTGTCAAATGAGGCAACTTTAAAAATGTCACTAGAGCCTGATTTATGTTTGGACTGTTTTTGTTCTGTTGAGCTCTGAATTATCAAAAATAATAACCTCATCCAAACCATCCACATATCTGATAGATCCCATCCCAAACCAGACTGTTTAAAGAGGTATTTCCCCTAATTAATAACCATGTCTTGGATCTACTTAATTTGTCTTTAATGAATGGTTATGTACCACAGAGCTTTAAGGCTGCTGTAATTAAACCTTTACTTAAGAAACATAACCTTGACTCAGGAATCCTGGCCAACTATAGATCTATATCTAATCTAACTTTCATCTCAAAAATTCTAGAGAAAATAGTTGCAGGTCAGTTGCATGAACATCTACAAAGAAATAATCTGAAGAGTTTCAGTCAGGGTTTAGAGCTCACCACAGCACAGAATCTGCACTGGTGAACGTCACTAATGATATTCTCATGGCCTCAGACAATGGACTTGTGTCTATACTGGTCCTGTTAGACCTCAGTGCTGCATTTGATACAGTTGATTATAATATTCTATTACAGAGACTTGAATATGATGTTGGAATTACAGGAACTCTAAATTGGTTTAAATCATATTTATCTGATAGATTCCAATTTGTAAATGTAAATATATATTTTTTTAATTAAACTTTATTTAACCAGATAAAAAGCCACTGAGATCAAGACGTCTTTCACAAGGGTGACCTGGCCAAGAACAGGCAGCAGCAGCACACGTCATAAAAACAAGACAAGTAGCACGATTAGATGAAGACTTCAGAAATATAGAAAAATATAAAACATACAGTATAACATCCAAAAAAGTTCAATCTGGTCCTCTGGACGTTCAAACAAAACAAAACAAAGCAAAAAATGTAGAAACGTTTCGTCTCTCATCCGAGAGACTTCCTCAGTCTGAGGTGCTGTATTCAGCTCAGTCTCTTAAATAGCACCTTCTCAGAGTGGATCAACCAGTTTTGCTGCTGACAACCAGAACCAGCTGATCACATGCTCAAGAAGGACCATCAGCCTAACAATGGGTCATTAGCACCTGATGGCTGTTTACTGTTCACAGAGGGCTGAGTGATACTAGCAATCACAGCATTGTAAGAGGGGGACAGTTGAACCTGGAGGCTCCACCCCTGTTTAATGATGGACGGTTTCTTTTCACAAAGATGGCCTCCTTTACTCCTCTCTCAAACCATCGTTCCTCTCTGTCCAGGATGTGAATATCTTCATCCCTGAAAGAGTGACCTCTGACCTGGAGATGAGTGTAGACCTCAGAGTCCTGGCCTGATGATGTTGATCTTCTGTGCTGGTCCATCCTTTTGGCCAGTGGCTGTTTAGTTTCCCCGATGTAAGACTGATCACCCTCCTGACACTGAACAACATACACAACATTCCTCTGTTTGTGCCGGGGGACTGGATCTTTGGGATGAACCAGTCTTTAATGTATTTTGGGGTTTAAAAGCCACTGGGACGTTATGTTTAGAAAATAAACGTCTCAGTTTCTCTGATACCCCCTCAACATATGGAATGACCACTGGTCTGGGTCTGGGTTCCTCCTTTTCACCTGATGGCTGACTGGAGTCCTGTTTGGGTTTCTTCTCTGCTTTCAGGAAGGCCCAGTTAGGATATCTACATTGCTCTAGAGCCTGTCTTGTGTGGGATTTCTCCTTCTGCCTGGCTCCTAAGCTAGTGGGGACGCTGTCTGCTCTGTGGTACAGAGTCCTGATGACT